TGGACACTGCTTAGTTTCTTACAATTTAGACATATGCAGCATTGTAAAATCATTGAGGTATTTCTTGATTTAGATTTGTTGTGACGTCAGAGTAATAAAACAAAGACCCAATTGAACTGGCTAAAGGAAGTGAAAGTATATTGGACACCTGATTTGACAGGACAGTACTGCAAGTCAGATAACTTAAAATCAGACGAGGTTGCAAAATCACAGTTGTGAGTGGTTTGGTTGAAGTTGTAATAATGAGTCTCTGTGCTCTTGTTTTAATTCTTCTGGTAGCCTAAGAGGTTCTGAAATTACAAACATTATACAAAATGAAACTGATTTTCTGAGTATGTGGGCGATGGAGATAACCTTCTTTCAAGAGTAAGGGAAAGGGAAAGGCTTCTGTAGTATCATTGCTTTCGCTCTTTAAAATCACTATACTATATTTAATGGGGGAAACCCTATCAAATCATTTTCAGTAGATTTTTATGTATACCATGTACATTTACACCATGTAGACCCCATTTCTATGAAGAGGTGTACATGGGGGTATTTGGGTGCCATAACACACACCATGTTTGGAGATAAAAGGAGACTGGATTTCACCCAACAAACACTATACCAGCTTCAGTGGTGGGAACATCATGGTGTGGGTTGTTTTTCAGCATACGACACTGGCACACTTTATGATTGAAGGAAGGAGGAATGGAAAAATGCACCAAGACATTCTTGATAAAAATACTGGTGTCATCTACCAGGTTGATGACAATGAAACGAGGGTGGCCTTTTCAGGAAGACAATGAAAAAAAGCCTCTTCAACCTGTCATCACCACCAAAGGCTTTTGTACGAAGTGTTAAATAAATTTCAGTAAGCGTGTTCAATATTTATTATTACACATATTGTAGCACTGTATTGGAGCACTGTATTGGAGCACCTTTGTCTGGTGACTTTGGAGGGAGCTGAAGCTTTTGCTGGATTCTTGGTTAATACTCTGTTTCTCTCCATTAAAATGAAACTATGATAAAAATGAGATGGTTCAAGCTTACAAATTCAATATTTTCAGTGCTGTAAATGTCTGAAAACATTTATAAGTGATGTCAAAGAATGAGAAATGCTCTTTCTCATGTCCATAACATAATAAACAGTTTTGAATTCTTTCACATATTGTATTGAAGACTTCCATCCAAAATTTGAGTCAGACCAACTATACCAACATTAGTTCCACAACAACAATTTGTAAACTTAGAGGAGCCTGGTGAGATGGACATTTATCAGGAAATGAAGTCAGCCCAGTGAAGAGGAAGAGGAATAGAGTACTTTTCAGCAACAAAGGGAACAAAACACAAGAAGCAGACGAATACAGAGTATAGATTTTACTATACCAGAAGAAGAATGTACCAGAGGAAAAATGTAAATGAGAAATTGATAAAAATCTGAGGCTGAACAGAGCAACAGGAAGTGATACTGGGGATTTTTTTTAAAAACAGTTTTTCTTGATTGCTTTGACACAGTTCTCCGATCAGAAATGTCACTCTAACCACTCTTTATGTCCTTACATTGGTCTTTCATCATTATGTTTCATATGCTTCACATACTTCACTACTAAAAACATTTTGTTGTGTTTATGCATTTCTCATCTGTACGTATTATAACTTATATACAACATATCTTTTACTTTGTGTTAGTGTTTGCTAGCAAATCACTTCCTACTTTTTTCAGTGGTTATAGTAACACATGCTCTCATTCTGGTATCACAGCTGTGTGTTGTGACTAATTACATACGCATATATACTGTAACCATATATAGTGGGAATTTCCTGTAATATACAATAGTACAGCAGTAGTATTGTAGTTGTTTATATAATTTTCCTTGTTTATTTTTTGATGCACTTTTTTTCAGGAATGATCTGTAAGAAGCTGCAAGAGACAAGCTAGTGAGATGTGGTTTAGAAATGATAGCACTGACAAAAAGACAGAACCCTGAGCCAGAGGTGGCACAGTTGAAGTTGATAAAGTTTTCATTGGGAGTGAGTTGGATGGACAATTAGAAATCAGTACATCAGAAGGAAAGTGTAAGTTGAGTGCTTTAGAGACAAATGTAAAGGGACAAGGCTGAATGGACACATAGTAAATATACTGGGCAAAGGATGTTGAAGATGCTGGTGCAAGGCAGCAGAAAAGTAGGAAAACCAGATAGAAGATGTGTGGAATGAAGGAGGGTTGATGTGACAGAGGATAATGTTAGGAATAGGACAACTACTGTGGCAACCACTAAAGAGAGCAGCCAAAAGAAGAAGAAGAAGATAGTTTCACGTGTATCATCTTGCTTGGGGCTTTCCTGATCTGTGTAATGCATAGAGGAACACAAAAAGTTATTTACACTCAGGTGGCCCTGTTACCATGTTATTGTGCCACATGTGTATATGTACGCAAATCACCCTAAGACATATATAATATAATATAATATAATATAATAATAGCTTAATTTCAATTTTCAGTTAACAGGCATTTCTGTCAGGGCTCTGTGTGCGGGCAGGCGGAGATGAGGATCCAAATGCAGGACTCGGACACTGAATTGCAACTCAAAAAACCCCTCAGCTTTATTGCTGGTGATGAAACAAAGCATGAACTGACAATGAACGACTGGAAACAGAAACACACAGGCACAATCTGAGAGTACGACGCAACAGAGAGCAAAGGAAAACACAGGGCTTATATACACAGAGGAGTAATCAGGCAATGGGAAACAGGAGGGAGACACCGCTGGGAGAAATTAGGCTAACGAGACAGGGGAGAAGTAAAACTGAACACACTGACATCAGACATGAACGTGAACATTCAAAGTAAAACAGGAAACGAGACACTTTACTAAGACACGGACTAGACAGAGTGAGACAGACTTGACACTGAACTAAACTTGCAATAATAACAATAATCAAAACAGTATCTCTAAATAATCAGAACATAAATCATAATCCAGAAAAACACCAAAACATAAGAAACAGAAAAAGCTGGGTCAAAATGACCCAGAACCGTGACAATTTCACTATAATTCAAAACAGACTGTAGCTCAGAAAGTAGAGCAAGCAGAAGGTAGGTACGTTGATCCCTGACTGCTCCAGTCCTCATTGCAAAAATCCTTGGACAAGATACTAAACAATTTGCAGATTGTTCTCCATTACATCAAGTGTGAATGTTATATAGAACATGAAGAGGTGAAGGAAGCATGTTGTATGAAGTGCTTTGAGTGTTCAAGTAGTGCTCACAAGTGCTATAGAAGAACTAGTACATTTACCAAATTGCTTGCTGTGTGCACACAGCCGAGAAAAAGGAAAGTTCAGTTCAATTAATTTCTGCTCTGTTTAATAAAAATCTCAGTATTATTTAAACTCAGTAAGTGGGCTGGCCTCTAAACGCTCAAATTGAGCACCGAGTGAAGAATTTCAGGGCAGAGTTTTGACAGTGTGCTCATAACTTTGAGTCATCCACGTAAAGTATTGATTACACACTCGTTCTGATAACATCTTCCCCTTTTAAAAAACAAGAAGTACTAGTGGCAACTATCACAACCATAAGCCTACAGTTGTTCTCAATAATTTTGGAACAATTTTCACCACTCTTAATGCAGCTGTCAAAACGGTTAAGGCATTTTTCATAACACAGACTAACCTGTTCAAAAGACACTACAACAATCAAAATCTTTTTCACATTTGTCAAAATTTGTCATTTTAAGACATCAAATTGTTTTTTTTGTTTTTTTTTACTTACTTTCAAAATAGTACAGCAAAAATATAGGCCTAATATTAAGTGTTTCAAAACACAATGAAATGAGAAGGATTTATTTAAAACTTTACAAAAGTCTGTGATTTGGTGCGGTTCATAAATTCACATTATGTTTTATCATCCTTGAAATTTCTAGTACAACACTTATATTAGTATGCAAGTATCATTAAAAAAAACCCCCATTAACAACAATTCTTGTAATGGCATTAAAATCAGCCCAACTTTTATTTTCAAATGCAAAAAAGTATAACAGCCAACATACTGGACACTGTTCTGCTGAACAACAAACAATTATATTGCCATCATTGTTATAATCTTACAATGAAACAAAGTCTCAGATTTAATTGTTCTAAAACTAAGTTTAGGCCTTCCACAACTTTGTTTTGCAAGTTACATTACTTACATAATCAAAATAAAATGTATTTATTCTTCAGTCACAAGTGCAGGCTCTAGATCAAACAGCACATTTGTTTTGCATTCAAACACAGAAGCTTGGTATGTTGTAATATTTTAAGGATGTTTGTTTCCAGTCCAGGCATTACTGCCTGAATGACTGTCGTAGATTTAAGTGATCCAAATGTGGGTGAAAAAGAAAGTCATTAACATTGTCCCAACTTTGCCTTAAATCGTCTTCAGACAGTGCAGAATGCTGCAGCACGTCTCTTAACAGGCACCAAGAGAAGATCTCATATCACTCCAGTTTTGACCTCCTTTCACTGGTTGACTATAAATTTTAGGTTTCATTTTAAAATTTTAGTTCTAACCTTTAGGACCCTACATGGTCAAGCTCGTCAATATTTATCTGACCTGCTGAAACCACATTCATCTTCTCGGGCTTTAAGGTCATGGGATCAGAGACTGCTGGTGGTACCGCGCACTCGTTTTAAAACTCGTGGTGATCGGGCCTTTCAGACTGTGGCACCACGGTTGTGGAATTCTCTTCCACTGTCTCTCCGCTGCACGGACTCCACTGATTCTTTTAAGAAACAGCTGAAGACATTTTTATTTAGAAAAGCATTTGATTAATTTCCTTTTATGCTGTTTTTATAGTTTTATTGTTTTACATTGTTTTATTTGCTGTTTTATTTACTGTTATATTGTTTTATATTTCTATTTCCTGTGTTGTAAAGCACTTTGTGATTTTTTTTTATCTGTGAAAAGCGCTATATAAACAAATTTTACTTACTTACTTACAAAATTACAGAAATGGAGAAAAGCAAAATGATAAAACTTTATGCAGAGGTCAGAAAACAAATGGCCAGACTAATTCGAGCTGTTAGAAAGACAACAGTGATTTTACAAGCAAGATATGCAAAAGAGCATCTCTGAAAGCACATCTGACCTTGAAGCAGATGGGCTACAGCAACAGATGACCAAACTGGAGGCCAGTCCTGTCAGCTAAGAACAGGAAACTGAGGCTATAGTTTGCACAGACTCACAAAAATTGGACAATAGAAGACTGGAAAAACATCGTAGTCATATGGCCTCCACATTCACCAAATGTCAATTCAAATCCATGTCAAGTATGCATTTCTATTGGTTGCAAGTAAACCTCTGACATAGTGTTAGTGTATTTGCTCTTTCATACATATTCATACATACAGAGGATTCAGACATCCATACAGAATTCATAAAAGTGAGTAGTGAGAAGTGCATCAACACAGAAACAAATAGCTATAGTAGTGAGGCATATGAGGTATATGTAGAAATAATAGTAGAAACAATGTAGACACAATAGCAGTGTGTGTAAAAACAAGGAGAATGTCTTATATGAGTGAGAATATGCGTCACAGATTTGAGTTCTGCATTAAGAGTAGCGAGAATGACCTTTCTGCTGTCAGAACTGAGCCAAAGCGATGGAGAAAAACTGTAAAAAAAAGAAAGAAAGAAAAAAGGAAATTAATACATAAATAGATAAAAGAAAAAGGTAAACACAAACAAGAGGATAGAGATACAGAGAATTTATTAAGCTAATTTTGGAAAAGTGAATAGTTTTGGCACAACAGTAAATTCAGATGATAATTCAGATTGGAAAAGCTGCCGACAGGACAGGTGAAAAAGGACAGACGAATCTCCTTCTGGAAGGGAAACTTACAATTACATATGCCATAAAGCCAGCTGCAAACATACTCTCGTTTACAATTCACAAATTCACAAGTCACGAAACTGAGGCTGTGCTGTACTTGGCCCCTCAGCTAAAATGAGTTTGACCACTCCTTTGCAGTATGTGGCAGTGTGCACCTTCCACAACAAATACAAGGAAGAAGAGTCTTTGGCCCTTTAAGACTTTTGGTTGCTGTGATTGGCTCAGTCCATTTTGTTGCAGGAAGCAGTCGTTGTACTGCACAAAGTGCTATTCCAGCGCAATAACCACAAATAGTTTGAGTATTATCAACAGTATAAAGGTATAGTAGGTAGTCACGCTTTATGCCGTGCGGAAAAATTGTGTCATGAATTAAAATGCTTCGTTATGCCAGTAACGTTGCTTGCTTCACCATGTAGCGGCAAATTTGAAACAGCTAACCAACATAACGCCGATTCTGTTGTTAGCTAGCAGACACGTACAATTCAAGTTCAGCAAAAATAAATGGTCTTATGGTTGAATACAATGGGCTGAGTATTGTTTAGCGACGTAACTCTCGCCCAACGGCACTGACAG